TAAAGTTTGCAGTCCGAAGCTGACCCAACCTTGCTTTCTGAAGTGAGGAGGGCATGCAGCACTTGCCGAGGACCATCAAAGAGCACAGCCTTCAACTGGATTACCACCCCCACACCCCAAAAAATCCCTCCAATATACTCACACCTAGACCAAGATAGAAAAATCATGATTAGCGGAGCAAGATTGACATTGCCTAAGATGTCATCTTGCTTCCACCCACAGTCCACGTTCACGAAGCAGCAGTCCAGCGATCAAAGGATGCATTGCACTGAGTGAATCTGCTGCCCAAGACCCCCGTGAAGTGTTGAAGAGCAAGCGTGTCATTGTGAGGACTCAGGGGAGCCTGACCCAAACCCCATGTGCATGTGAAAGTAGGAAAAGGAAGAAGCAAGATCAGAGAAGAACTGATTCCTCTGAATTATGATGCGGGGAAAGAACATATAAGGATATCGGAAACATTTAATGTGCTGCCAAAGGAACAAATACATCTATCTTGGAGGAAGTGCCAGGAGATTGCTCCTGAGGCGGGAGAAGGGTGAGACAGCTCACAGCCTTTGACCTTTCAGGAAGAGAGCACCCCCTGGAGGAGGATCTGATGGATGACAAAGCAGAGGGACAGTGAAAAAGGGCTTGCACCTACCAACAATCGTGAGGCTGCTGCAGGACTGGGCAGTGCTTTGCTCTGCTGTACTGAGTCAGAGCTGACTGCATGGCACTACCAACAAGGTCTTTGGAGGGAATCCAAAGTATAATAATCAACATATATATATATAATCTTTTTAAAATAGTGAAATTAGAAATAAATGTGTTAGTGGTAATAGATTAAATGTTAAAATGTGACTTTTAATATTTTTATCACATTGAAACTTTTATCGAATTAATAAATGTACAAATAACCCCTTTACAATATTAAAACAGAGGTAATTTCTTACCAAGTAGAAGATGTTAAGTTCAGTTCCAATATCTTCAGTAGAATTAATAAATTCAGGAACTGTTTCATTGGTCCCAATGGAAATGTGGTACTCACTTGCGGAGCTTAAAAAGAATTCATTGGAAGAAGAACAATAAAATGTAATAATACTTAATTTTCATTTCATTCTGTTTGCTTTTTCTTTCTTCATAGCATGTGGCCCCCCCATCTCCCCACTTCCCTGCCTATCAAATTACTCATAGAGATTCCAAATCAAGAGGAGGTTCATTTACCTTGAAACCTAAAACAAAATCTTTGAAGAGGGTGAAAAAGGTTATC